AGGCTTATAACAACCTGCGGTATGCAGATGACACAACCATGCTTGCTGAAAGTGAGGAGGATATGAAGCACTTGCTGATGAGATCAAGGATTGTAGCCTTCAGTATGTTATAGCAACACAATTGTAAGGAAGACCCAAATCCTCACAACTGTACAATAGGTAACATCATGATGAATGGAGAAAAGGTTGATGTTGTCAAGGAGTTCGTCTTACTTGGATTCACAATCAGTTGTCATGGAAGCAGCAGTAAAGAGATCAAAAGATGTATTGCATTAGGTCAATCTGCTGCACAAGACCTCTTTAGAGTATTGAAGAGCAAAGATGTTACTTTAAGGACCAAGGTGCTCCCGCCTGGCCCAAGCCATGGCATTCTCCATGGCATCGTGTGCATGTGAAAGCTGGCCACTGAATAAGGAAGACCATAGAAGAATAGATGCATTTGAATTGTGGTGCTGGAGGAGAATATTGAAAATACCATGAATCGCTAAAAGGACAAACAGATCTGTATTGGAAGAAGTAAGGCCAGAGTGCCCCTTCGAGGCAAGACTGGCAAGATTTTATCTTAAATACTTTGGACATATTGTCAGGACAGACCAGTCCCCGGAAGATAGCAAGTTTGGTAAGGGTGAAGGGCAGCAGAAAAGAGGAAGGCCCTCCATGAGATGGATTGATACAGTGGCTGCATCCATGGGCTCAGGCACAGGAACAATTGTGAGGCTGGCGCAGGACCGGGCAGGGTTTCGTGCTGCTGTGCACAGGACTGCAGTGGGTCGGAGCCCACTCGATGGCACCTAACAACAACAAATTCTGTAAAGGGGACTACTCTCACCCAGGGCTCCACATGAAGCAAAAAGCAGTGTTGACTCCTTGTTCAGTTGCGGGGTGAGTGACAGCACTAACCAGTGGTCTTCAAGCCACATACCTGTGAGGCAGCCAGGCCCCCGAGTTGGAGAAATCCTCCAGGTACTTGTCCCACTGGTCCATCAGTCCATACATGTTGGGCTGCAGTAATGGGATACTTACACTCTGTTCCCACCCCGCTTCATCGCGGTGGACACCTTGTATGTTGTAATGATACACAACTCCTGCAAACCAAAGCCAAAGTCATCCAGAAGCTTCAAGACAAATGCATCCCTGTTATAAAGAGATTCAAGAAAATAACAGCAGCCACCTTGGTGAGTTAGCAAGGTCAATCCGGGTTACACTTTGGGAGTATGCCAGAGAGCAGCAGACCTACGTGAGAATCTAAGAACTCCCTTCCTCGGAGCTCCTTTAAATGCAGAGAGCAGCCGTGCATCTAATGAGATTTAGATATGGTCTCACTAGGGCCGGAGGGGACTGACCTGCTGCCTCCCCTGCTCTCAGCAAACATGTCTTCTGGGTAAACCCAGGTCCAGCTCTACCTGCTGTATACTGTGCTCTGAAGAGCCCCAGGAAGCTGAGACCGCACTAGGCACCAGGATAAACATCTCCAAATATCTTTGTTGAAGTTCTCTCTTTACAAATCCTTCTATCGGATTTCCTTAAACCAGCAGTACCTTTCCCCTGATAACGATCGGTGGTGAATCTGCGTGCCTATTTGGGTACATCGCAGTTTGTAAAACCAGTTCTGTGTTTCGGTTTCTCTTCACCCTGCCAGTTTCTCTTGCCTCTAGAGGGGAAAGGGCACAAGCACTGAAGCCAGGCCTGGGAGCCTTGCTCACTGGCTCACCCAGCTGGCCATTCCCGGGCCTGCTCCCTGCGAGTGGCTACCCCTGATCCATCTCTGGGCAAGGTGTTTCCTGGTTTGCGAGATGTGACCTACTCAGTACCCTCAGAGCTAAACCTGGTGCCTGGGGTTACCGTTTCATCTTCACCGGCTTCTTTGACTTAGGCAGACTACTTCAGGCCTACCCCATCCTGAGGTGCCACAGCCCCTTTTTGCTCCTGATGCGCCTGGAGAGAGGTCCTGGGGAGTGGGGGCTGCATGCAAGGCTGGGGCACAGAGGGCCTGGGCCCACATTTTGCTTTGGGCACCGGATGGGCTCTTGGCAGGTCAAGCTTGGTGTCATCTGTTTCTTCCTCTGTTCGAAGAGAAACAAAAACACCTCCCAGGTTTGCAAGAACATTGAGAAAATAGGAAAGGGTTTTCAAATATTTAGTATAGTTAGTAGGAATAATTGGCAGTGACGGGGTAGTGATGCCCTACCTCGTGTGCAGTGGTCGAACCCAGGATGCTGTCAGGATTGTGTTTTCTCTAGAAACACTGTTCTCTCACTGGGTCAGTTGTACTTGTTTGTTTGTTTGTTTGTTGTCTACTAAGAAGCCATGAAAATGAGCTTACCGTGTGTGTTGGTTATTCCAACATGAAGATCAGACTTTCCATCATAGTCCCTGGGGAAGAAAAATCAAACAAGTATTTTCCCCTTTTCTAAGTATTTGGCATGATACTGAAGGCCTGCCCTGCTAGAACAGGTCTTCCACATAGCACCTGTTTCCCACAGATCCATGATATAGGGGCCACCGAGGTCAGTGGCTGAAGGAATTTCTTATGACAGCCTGGTCCTCACAGGTAACATGGGCAGTGCTGGATGGGTCTCAAGAGACCTCAGCATTTGGAACTAATACTACCCATTGGGGTGCTCTTGTGGCCATATCCAATTTTCCTGAGCAGATCCTTTCCTAAAACTATTCTTTACTCAAACTTCATTAAATGTATAACTCACAAAAATCTCTGCCAAATAAAATCATCTCACTGCCAACTCGTAGTAACCCCATAGGACATAGTAGAACTGCGTCTATTGCTTTGTAAAGGAGCAGAAAGCCTCGTCTGTCTCCTTCAGAGAGGCTGGTGGTTTCAAACTGACGACTCTGAGATTAGCAGCCCAACACATAATCCACCGTGTTACCAGGGCTCCCTATTAAATGGATAACTCAGTGTAATCTAATCTTTATACATAATCCTGGACTCTAACTGCCTAGCCCTGGGATACTGGGTGACTCATTTACTCTTTCTGATTTCAGTTTCCTCCTCTGTAAAATGAGGCTCGTGGTGCCTTTGCAGGTGATTATACCAATTACATGCCTGGAAGGTGCTTGCCACAGGTAAGTGTTGACTAAATCTCAGGTCATTTTAAAATGGTCCCTAGGTTAGCCAAACAGTGAAGCGCTCAGCTGCTTAGGCTGAAGCTGGGGAAACAGGGAGGGGCTCGGGTGCTGTGCACACTGTGTGAGTGCCATCACCTGTGCTTGGTCCTGGACCTAAACCCCAGGCCCAGCCTCCCTCCTCAGGTAAGCCAGGCAGCTGTTGTGTGCTGGCTCGGGCTTATGGGTGGGTTAAATGAATGACTCGGGACACAGTAGGGAATGAGCGGGTTCCAATCCTCACAGAGTATCCTTGCTTCGGGAGACAGCATTCTAGCTGTGGTTTAGCACATTTCTATTCCTGAGACATGTTCAGCATTGAGCTGGTAAATGCTGGGAAGAGAGAGGCAGTGGAACCTGTGAGAGCTGGAATGTGATGGGACTGCTTGGTTTCTCGAGGCCTCATGGGTTTCCTGCCTTTGACAGGGTGCAGCCACCACTTTTCTACTGATCTGTTAGTGATTAGTTAAATAACTAAGAATAGCATTCATTAGGGCAGCGGTTCTCAACCTGTGGGTCCATGACCCCTTTGGAGGGTTGAAC